AATATCCATCTGATTTGAACCATTGTTATCTTGAGATAACGGTTCAGACAGATCTCCATTCAACTGATCTGTTTCATTGTCATCATCTGGAGCAGTGACTTCATTATTACCACCAATTTGGTTAGGGTAAAGTCCATGAACTAAATAAAACAGTTCATTAAACTCGTCGTCATTTTTATTGAAGCCATTTGTCTGATCACTGTCCGAAGTCGTAAGCCATGGTCTCCAAATTTGATTGTCCGTGGGATTGCCAATGTTGGGGTATTCCGGTTGAGCATTGTTGTTGTCGGGCTGTGAGTTGTCAATTATTTCCGGCTGATGGTCGTTGAAGTTTTGAGAGACGTCATCAATAAAATCCATTTGCATATCCAGGTCGGGTTGGATGTCGTCATCAACAAATTCCGGACGTGCGTTGTCGTAGTTATCCATTATATCACAATAACACTATTAAAATTAAAAAATTTAATAAGTAATTTAAAAATAAAATAAAATAACATAATATAATATATTTAATAGTATATAATAAAATAAAAATACAATAATAAATAACACTTACCAATAATCACCAAAATTATTAACACTAGTACACAATACTATTAAATAATAGTAATAATAATTATAACACAAAGTTTAATCAAAGACAAAGTAGAGCTATAACTGACACAAAGGTAAGCATAAGCAGACTAACCAGAGTCACTCATGGACTACTGCTTTTATAGCATTTGACTGCTAAGCAGTCAATCCAGTTTATTGAGTCAACATAAAAGGATTAAAGGATTAGTGTTCAATGTTTGTTTTTAATCTTAACATTTTCCAAGAATTGTCAATCCCTAATACACAAATGTTATAAAAGGGATTAAAGGATTAACTAAGGTAACTATTATAACCAGATATAACCAGATCTATTCAGTTTTTGTGTTGAAATATTAAATCACATGATTAATAATGCAAGTGTCACGTGTAGATAAAAAACATTTATGCTTTAAGCATCCATTTACCTGTATGGTTGCTGGACCGACATCTAGTGGAAAAACAGTATTATTAAGAAAAATATTAGCTAATTATAAACAAACAATTTATTTTAAAGATATACCTAATAAATTAAAAGTAATATGGGCTTATGGTCAATGGCAAGACCTGTATAAAGTAAACATTGTTGATTGTGATATACAATATATAGAAGGTTTACCCAATGAAGAGGAGGTTAAAGAGATAACACCACATTTGATAGTTATTGATGACCTGATGACTGAACTCGGTAATAATGTAACATTAGCTAATCTATTTACAAAAGGTAGTCATCATATGAATATAAGTGTAATATTTGTTTCACAAAACATTTTTCATCAGGGATCACAGATGAGAACTATAAGCATTAATTGTCATTATTTATTATTATTAAAAAATCCTAGAGATAAAAGACAAATAATATCATTAGCATCACAGATTTTCCCTAATAATAGTAAATATTTTATAGAAGCCTACAATGATGCAACTTCCATACAATATGGTTATATAAGAGTTGATTTAAAACAAGATACACCTGAAAAATATAGAGTACAAACAAATATATTACCTAATAATAATAATAGCTTAAGACCAATAGCATACATTTCTAAATAATGTCTGATAACCTAAAAAGATATTTTAGTGACTTAGAATTTGTGTCACAAATTAAATGTAAAAAAACACAAAATCAATTGTTAAAGTATTTATCCAAAGACCCTAATGTATATTTAGCTTTAAAAGAAATAGGTATTAATATTATAGAAGGAAACATTTCTAATGTAATATTGTCTAAAAAGCAAAAGACTTTGTTAAACAAATTTAAGTCTAAAAAATCACTAAGTGACTGTAAAAAAGTTATTCAAAAAGGTGGTTGGTTTTGGTTAGTACCGTTATTAAAAACAGTGTATGACTTGATTACATAATGTCTTATAGAAAAATTGAATTAATGTCTGTAGATAGCGATACAGAAACAACAGATGGGATTAGTAATACACCTGTTAAACAACTTCAAAGTTCAACAGTGATTAATAAACATATAAGAGATAAGAATGACATTGTATATGACAATAATGTTAAATAGAATCTACTATTAGACAACAATTTAAATGAAAATTTTCTTAAAATAATAGAAGATATAGTTAATAAAATACTTGTAAAAAATAATTATTTTAAATCTAATAAAATATTGTCACAATCTTTAGCAAAATATAAAAATCAAAAAATCAAACCTATAGTTAAAAATAAGATTACAAAAAATAAAGCAATTAAAAAAGCTAAAAATATAAACCTTAATAAAAAACAAAAAATAAAATGGACGAAAATATAAACAAATTATTATCAGATATATATTATGACACTATCAATAACGCTTCATTTAGCAGTATAAAAAATTTATATGATAAAGCTAAAGATATCGATAGTAATATTACATTAGAAAATGTTAAAGATTGGCTATCATCTCAATTAACATACACATTACATAAACCTGTACTTAAGATTTTTAAAAGAAATCCTATTATTGTTTCTAATATCAATGAACAATGGGAAGCTGATTTGGTCGATATGAGAGAATTTTCATCTAAAAATAATAACTATAATTATATACTTACAGTTGTCGACTGTTTTTCAAAGTACGCATTTGCCGTACCCTTAAAGGTTAAAACTGGTATTAGTATAACTAATGCATTTAAAACTATTGTTAATGAGCGTCGCCCTCTATCTTTAAGAACAGATAAGGGTAAAGAATTTTTAAATAAAGATTTTCAACAATACTTAAAACATAATCGTATCAATTACTTTCACTCAAACGATCAAAAAATAAAGTGTGCTATTGTTGAGCGTTTCAATAGGACATTAAAATCACGTATGTTTAAGTATTTTACTTCTCGTGGTACTCGGAAATACATAGATGTGCTACAAAACTTCATCTCTGCATACAATTCATCACATCATAGATCAATAAAAATGAAACCTATTGACGTCACTCATGACAATACTAAGATAGTGTATGATAACCTATATAATAAAGTCAAAAATATACCTCTACCTAAATTAAAAATTGGTGATAAAGTACGTCGTGCATATGATTTCAATAAAATGGATCGTGGCTATTATCCTAATTGGACAGATCATGTATTCACTGTTGAAAAAACTATAAAAGGAGATAAACAATATATATTTAGATTAAAAGACGGTAAAGGTGATGTTGTTGAACAAAGATTTTATCCAGAAGAAATACAAAAAATAAATGATGACCTCTATCGAATTGAACGCGTAATTAAAACTCGCTATAGAAATGGTATTAGAGAATATTATGTAAAATGGTTAAACTATCCAGATACATACAATAGCTGGGTAACTGATATACAAAATGTCTACAATTAAAAATATATGTAAATCAGATTTAATTTTATTTATTACACAAATAACGGCAGTTAGTATAGTTATAATAATAAGTTTAGTTAACCTAACATTAATGATTGGTGATAGTAATTTATGGACAATTATACTTACCAGCACTTTAGGTTACTTAATGCCTAATCCAAAGTTAAAAATCTGTAATAAATTAATAAAAGACAATATTGTAGTTTAAAATTTTATAAAAGATAACATTTTTTATTAAAATGAGTTGTTTATTAATACAGATATTATGTTTTATTTTGTTATTTATATTTATAATAACATTATTTATTTTGAGAGATAAAGAAAAGTTAATTTGGACCTGTTATACAGACAATATTACAGGCATTAAACTTTGTGAATAATGAGTGATTACATAACGTTAATTAGCAATGTTAATAAATACGATAAGTTATCTAACTTTCGTATAAAATTAGGCAAAAAAGTTGAATTACTTGGTGATTGGTTAGTTGGTGTTTGTGAAATATCTTATACCAAGTCTTGGTATAATGTATTAAACGAYCACATAATAACTTTATTTGATGAGATGGGAAATATTTACTCTAACAATGAGGTAGATTTGTTTACTATACATGCAGGGTTTTATGAAACACCAGTTAAACTTATTAATGAAATAAATAAAATATTTAATACGTTTACTAAAGTCAAACCTCCTAAACTTTTATATAATGAAATAAATAATTATATAACTCTTGAAGTTGGTAAAGTAGAAAACACAGTTAAAGTTTTTCCTGATTTAGGCGAAGAAATTGAAAATATATTAGGTTTAAGAAATAGACAACAATCTCTTAATTATTATTACGTAACCAATAATTTAGCTGATGTTGTATTTAACGGTATAGAAAATAAAGATAGTATTAAAGCTTTTCATCCAGTAGAAATATATGGTGGATTTCATTCTCTGTATTTATACACTGACATTGTATATCCATCAATTGTTAATAATTCATTTGCTAACTTATTGAGAGTTATTGAAGTACCGCGAAAATACAAATTTGGTGAAACTATACATTTAACATATGAAAAACCGCAATACAGACCCGTAAGACTTAATCAATTTGAAACAATTGAAATTGTTATAGAAGATGATAGTGGTATGAAAATACCATTTAAATTTGGTAGAGTAGCTATAACGTTACATTTTATTAAAAAATAATCATGGATAAYCCATATGTACAATACTATATGAACCAAGCAGGGTCGGGTATTGTTACCTATGCAGGTCACAGATATCAATCCGGTAACGGTATATTTGGAAAGATATTAAAACATTTAAAACCAGCCTTAAAATACGTAGCCAGTAAAGGATGGGAGGCTTTTAATAATTTTGGTGGTGACGTATTATCTGGAAAATCATTTAAAGAAGCAGGTGCTAACCAGTTGATACGCACAGCTGATTCTGTCATAACAGACGTTAAAGATAAACTTAATAACGCCAAAAAACAAAAAGGTTTGGGTCGTAAACGTAAACGTAAAAAAAGTGTACAAAAAACTAAGAAAAAACAAAAAACTAAACCTAAAAAATCTTATAGAAGACGTAAGACACCTAAAAAGATATTAAAGTATTAAATATGACAACAATACATGAGCTCTCGTCTTTAATGACATTACCAGAGTTGGATATTTTTGGTGTGCCACCCACTCAACTTATGATTGAACGTGATGTACAAACTGAACACCGCCCAATCAGTTCATTAAACCAATCAACAAACACTATTGAGTTTGAAGTACACACTGGTCTTAATGAATATATTAATCTCAGTAAAAGTGAAATATATCTATGCTTAAAAATAAAGTTGCAAAAATCTACTGTATCTAAATCTCCAGATATAAAAGCAGATGACTGGAAACTAATATCTCCAGTAAATTATTTATTACATTCATTTATTAAACAAATAGATGTAGTAATTGGTCAAACTTCTGTATCATCAACATCAGTAAATTATCCTTATGTGGCATATATGGATACTTTATTAAATAGTACACCAGAAGCTAGAAAAACTCATTTACAGACTGCTTTATGGCAAAAAGATGAATATCCGATGGACAAAGTAAACGAAATAAGAAGCCAACGAATCAGACCTATTGGTGACACTTTAGATGAAGGGTGTGAGATTGAAATGTATGGAAATCTACATATTGATCTTAGCTCTCAAGTAAAGTCATTACTAGGAGGCGTTAGTCTCAATATAAAAATATATCCTAATGATCCTAACTTTTATTTAATATATGATAAAACATTATTACCTAAGGTTGAGATTATGGATGTCAGATTATTTATGCACAGATCTATATTAAGTCCTCAAGTTGTAATTGCACATAATAAAGCACTAGAAAAAACTAATGCTAGATATTTTATTACAAGAAAAGAAGTAAAGACATCAATTATAGCTAAAGATACATTGGATTGTTATTTAAACAATGTAGTGAATGGTGTAATACCTAGAAAAATATATGTTGCATTTGTCAACAATGAAGCATATAACGGTGTTTATAATTTGAATCCGTTTTATTTTAAAAATTATAGTATAAGACACATAGCCTGCTATGTTGATGGAACTCAATATCCACATAGACCTTACACTCCAGATTTTAGCACTAAAAAATATATGCGTGAATATTTCGTATTATTTGAAACAGCCAATCAAATAAGACATGAAACAAGTATAGATATTACTAGAGATGAATATGCTGAAGGTTTTACTATATTCGGATTTAATTTCACACCTGATTTATCAGATGGAGTAGCTAAAAGTGGATATGTATCTCCACTAAGTAGAGGTAATTTACGAATAGAATTAAAGTTTGCTCACCCAATAAAAGAGACTGTAACTGCAATTATATTTTGTGAATACGATAATCTAATTGAAATCCAAAATTCCCGTTTTGCTATTAAAGATTTTCCATGAATACATTAGAGATTAACCATTATTTTAGAAATAGTGATAGATATTATGGTACTTATCCAAGAGATTTATTACCAAATACTATACCTTTAGGGACGGGTATAATTATAAACACAGATAGTTCATCTTTACCTGGAGAACATTGGGTTACAATTTATAAGTCGATCAATGGTAATATTGTTTATTTTGATTCATTTGGTATTCAACCCCTACATACAGATATATTAAAGTTTATAAAAGATAATATAACACATGGTTATTATTATAATACTATAAATTTTCAAAGTGTATTTTCAGATACCTGCGGATTATACTGTATATATTTTTTAACAAACTTTTTTAATGGCGGAACATTTGAATCGTTTAGGAGTGTCTTTAGCTTTTCTCCTAATATTAACGACAGTATTGCCCGATTATTACGTAATTGGTGATTGCCGTTTATCAAAAGTATATAAATCTTTTAACGATTATTATAGAGTATATAAACAAATAAAGATTATATATGATGAAAAATTTTTAATAGTCATCACAGATACAATTATGATTAATAAAACGTTAGCAGACATTGCTAATATGTATAAACATAAAATTGAAAGATTTTTTATAGAAGAGGGATACCCATTAAATACATATAATGATTTATCATTTATGATTAAAAAACTAAACCTATAATGGAGTTCAAAGATAGACCATACTTTGCAAATAAAATATGTCTATTATGGATACACAAGGTTTTTATATGGATAAAGAGTTTTATCCTAGAGAGATATCTATTATTTCACATACATTTAAACAAAATGTTTTATGTGAAACTAATTTAAAGTTTGTTGATATGACTGTTAAAGATAGGATAACTAATTTATATATTGCTAATAATTTGTTAGGCATGTCTTTGCGCACTTCTAACAATGAAATTAAATTTAACGATACACATGATCCATTACAGATTATTGCTATATTATATAATAAAGTAAAAACGGATACTAAAAAATATTTGGGTATAAAAAACCAACAATTAAAACATCTATTAATTATTTTGGATATACCATTTGTAGATCTAAATGTTCTACAATGTCCTAGTACTTGTAGATTAAAAAAACTTTACACTAAGATACCAATAGCATGTCATTTTCATAATAGATTGGTTCCTAATATTAATATTCTTAGATGTGCTGAAGTTAAATGTATGCTTCTATGGGATTGGTTATTTAGTTTTACTAATAGATATTAAATAGATAATATACGGAACTAACTCCCGCCGTGTTCTACGGAACAAATAAGGGGCATTGGCAGGGCCAAAGAGGGCAGTACTCTTTGTGCGCTCAACAATGATTTTTATGTGTTATTTATGTTTTATTAAATTTATTTTTGTTTGTGTTTAATTGTGCATCTATTTTTTGATTAATTATTAATTTTATTTTATTAATTATTTTTATTAAATTTTATTAAATATAAAATACATTTTAATTAAGATGATTAATAATATCTTTCTTATAAAATAATAAGTTAGATAATTCATATTCATATAGTATTAAATTATTACATTCATTTTTATTAACTTTAATCACACTTATTTTATTTCCACCAATTACATTTTCAAATTTTATTTTTCGATAGTTAGTACCAAATTGTATGAATTTTTTTCTTTTTTCTAAATATGGTAATAAGATAATAAACTCTTTTTTACTTAAGCATACGCCATCTTTGGTAAATTTTGTATATATATTTTCATTATATGCTTTACGTATATCCACATATGTTAAATTTTGTATTGTATCATTAATAATACGTATAACTAAAACATATGCAGAAGTTGATTTTGGATTACAATAACTATAAAATATATTACTATATTTTATATTTAACACCATACTTAGAAATAATCTATAAATAATCAAACTTTTAATATATTTAATATTATTATATTTAATTCATACTCACTTTTATAATATTAACATATAAATACTTTTAATCTTTTTGTTACATTAGCTCTACAATAAGGACATTTGTGTAAACGCTGACTACACCTTATACACGATATCTGATGTGCACAAGGTAGAAATACCACTTCCATCACATTTTCATAACATATCTTACAAAGCATTTTATTATTCTGCTGATAACTTTGTTGTATTTCAACAGATGGTGGTGGTTGAACATCCAATGGAGGGTGCGGTGATGAGCACGAGTACTCAAATAACATTTCTACATTTACAACAGGTCTTTCATAATACATTTCTCGACAAGTAGTTATAAAACTTTGGCATTTCTGTGCTCTAAGATAGTCACAATGAGGGTAATGCTTTGCGTGTTCGATCCATGGATCATCAACTGGTGACCATGAACACAAACGTCCATCACAACTAAAGCATTTAACGTAATCTAAATATCCAATAGAATAAAATCCAGCCAAAGCAAACTTCCTGTAATCATGTGTCCAATCCACAGTGTCAATCCATTCAGGGTTATTAAATGATTGTATTCTATCTTCTATTTTACTAAAAATAACTTCATTACTAGTAGCCATTATAAATCACAATATAATTATAATATTTATAATAAATTTAGTGTTAACAACGCGTTGTATAACTATTAAGTCTTTATTTCCTACTATACTTTATATACTTTATTATTGCATCAACATTAATTAAATTTATTACTGCTATAACCAATGAACACACTCTAAATATAATGACATCACATTAACACATTCCTATTGGTTATAATTATAATAACACTAGTATTCTTACATACCGCATGTTTTTTTTTGTTTTTTTTATTGTGATGCAATATGTCACGTGATATGTTGCATAATAATAAATTATTTGTATATTAGTTGTGCGTCTATTTTTGGAATTAATTTTAGGCGTTTTTGTTTTGTTTTATTGTTTTTATTTTATTTTTAAAATAATAAATAGTTAAATAATAATACATTAATATGACAATATTTCATTTTTATACATTAATAGTTTCTTGAGGTCATTTTCACACAGAAACAAATTTTGTTCTGCTTTCTTATTCCGAAGACGCAATGCGTAGCCATATTTGGTTTTATCAAAGTTGATGAGTCTTTGTTTCACCTGATCAATGATTGGACGACCTTTCAGTTCTTCAAGGTATGGCACTAATTCTTTGAACTCATCCATTTCCAAACAGACACCAATCTTTGTAAATCTTCTCTCGTCATTTTCAATGTATGTTTTACGTATATCCACATATTTGGTAATTTCACCATTGTATTCACTCTACAACACGAACCACATATTCATGTGAATACAGAAACTTTTCGTGAAAAAATTTTGAAAATACTTGAAAATATTTCTCTGTTAAACCCATTTTGCCTATCTTGTTGTAGTAATGATATTAATAGTCAAAGAGAGTAAAGTGAACTGAATAATGAGTTATCATATCACTTCTCTTTTATAGCAAATCATCAAAGCGTTAATAATTAAAACCAGTTTTGAAATCATGTGATTGCGTCAACATTAATAAACCGGTTTAAACCAGTTAGATTGCATCAACATTAATAACCGGTTTATGCGCACGCTCCTTTCATACCAGTAAAAGTATAGCAGTAGTCTAGTAGCAAACTATACTTTATTAGTTTACAATGACTCAGCGAGTTAACTTAGATTTTAATATTATTATTTCTAGATCTTCAGATTACCATAGAGAACTCGGTATATATGCTATTGTCCATCAAAACGCATATGAAAAGTTTATTCAAATCCGTGATTATTATGGTAACCAATTACAACCTGGTGGTCTGTGTTTCAAATGTAAAGAATTCTTTTGGTTTATTAGTCAATTGTGTATTAAACATAGACAATCATCTGTTTTTAAAACAGATAAATCAAAGCTGTATTACCAAATAGTTTATGACTTGATTTGTGTTTACCAACAAACACCAACTAAAGATAATTTATTTGTCTTTAACTACAATGAAGTTCAACTATTGCATCAGTGGAAAAACAAAATATTGTCAACACTCATCGAATTTGGACAACAACCAAAAAACATACCAAATACTACACCTTCAGTCGAATCAACAGTAACTCAATCTCTTTCAACAGAAGAACCTATGGACATAGATGAACAACCAACTATAACCATACCATCTAATAATAAACCTTCAGCTAAGAAAGAGATTAATAAAACGTTTAAGAAGCGTTTTAATAAATTTCAAAATACTAAATAATGGCTAAAATAACAAATGTTTCTATGACTTGTGATTTAAGTGTTTACCATATATATTTAGATTTAAAATTAATAACTAATAATTTAAATAATTGCATTTATCAAAATAAATATTTTATTCGTGTTGTTATGAAATTACGAAATCCTAAAGCAACAGTTATGATTCACGACACCGGAAAACTTGTATGTATTGGCGCTAACTCTCAATCAGACGGAAGGATGGCTTTAAGAAAGACAGCTCGAATGATACAAAAACTTGGATATACTATTAAACCTCAAAACATTGTCACTACAAACATTGCATCATTTTATATTTTAAATAATAATATTAGTCTTAATAATTTTTATGAGTATTTAATTAATTGTAATATATTAGTTAATTATGATTTAGAGTTATTTCCACACATGCGGATTAATTTTAACAGTAGTGGTAAAATAACATTAACACAAAACGGAAAATTAATATTAACTGGTGTTAATTCTATTGATAACACTAATAATTTATTAATTATATTTTTAAATTATTTTAATAATTATATTAAACTTAATTGTAATTAACTTTTATTTAACTGTTTGTAAATTTATTTAATTGTATTTAATAAAATCAAAAATAATTAATTAATCAAAAATTAGATGCACAATAAAAAATACATTTTTATTTCTTGTGATGCAATATGTCACGTGACATATTACATAATATCACTTTTACACACTTACATAATTTATGAATGGTCAATAATAATACTACTACATGTAGTAGTACTATTTCATTCATAATTTTTACGCACGGAGTGATCGGATTAACG